GACATTCCCCAAAAGGAGACCTTCGGAGTCAAAGATCATACGTGGGAGACCGCACCACTTCTGAACCAGGTATACTCTTCGCCCATTATGGAAAGATGTCACATATATGGGTGGAAAGATGGAGGAACACATCAAAATGGGAGGATAGTGATCTAAACCATACATTATTTATTAAACTCAATCCCTGAAAACATAAACGTTGGTGAGATTAAAGGATGTGCCCACAGGTGTAAAGTAGTCCACGGGTGAGTACTGTCTGGGACGGGCAAACTAATGAAGCAAACATATCGCAAGGATAAACTTACAAGTGATCTTGTGGAACACCCCATCTCCACAGTGTGTGTTGTGTGGCCATGGAATTATAATTGTTAGTCATCATGGCCTTACAGTGCAGCTTTTAATAGTTTAAGTATACCTGGACAGACATCACTCACCACAGAGCGGGATCCATAAAGAAAAAAGATATATGTATATTCTAAAAGGTAACTTACCCAGTCACTGTCTCATGAAAGAGTGAAGGATTTCAACAAGTACATGACGATACCCTGACAAGGAAGAAAGAGCTACCCAAAGCAAAGAATGGGAGATAAACGTATGAGATGTAGACCCAGTGTTCAACATACAAAGTACCTTCAACGGACAGCAGGGAAAAGTAAAGGTGCATGATCAGGGTGAAGACACCAAGAAGTGATGATGGGAAGGAGACAAGGAATAAAAGGCCAATCAAATTACAATTCCAACCCAATGGGTAAAGGAGAAATGGAAAAAAAAATCACAGATGAAGTGGAATAAAAGAGAGAAAAACTGACAAAATCTAGGTCATCGGAAAATGGGTTAAGCCCTTATAGGGGGAAAGCGAGCAATATTGGGAGCAAGTAGGGTAGACCATGGCCCCCAGGGGCCCTCACAAACTAAATTAATGGTAAGAAGTGTAAATTATAAATTAAACAAGATTAATAGGTACGAAGTATAAATGATAAAGATAGATGAAAATGAAATAGCGGATATAGTAGAAAAGTTAAGAAATTGTACAGTGAAATAAACATATGTAGGTGATGTTATGTGTTGAAGAAAAGATATTTAACCTAAATATCAATGAACCCATAAATAGAACCACGGGTAAACCAAAAATAACAGACTAAGCCTAATCAAACAAGATGTTTAACCTAATTATCAATTAACCCAGAGGTAGAACTATAGTTAAACCAAAAATAACACACACTTTTGAAGCCTAATTGAACTGTACAGAACAAAGAATATCACTAAGCACTAAAATAAAAACTTAACCTAACAATAAGTATGCACAATATCAGGAGAAGTTTGTGTGGAACCCTTGAAGTGAATAGGAAGAAGGATAAAAGCTAAATAATATTGAGAATAAAATATATGTGATTGTATAAAATTAAGGAATTGTGTAGTAACAATAACATATATTTCTATTGTAACATTTTATAAAAGTTAAGCTTTCATAAGCCCAATTCCTAGTCAAAAAGTGTTAAGCAGTTTTCATTACAAAAAGTTGACAAATTTTATTTCTCTAGTTTATTGCTATAGTTTTTGCAGATCAAATCCAATTAATTGCAGAGATGTAGCATCATGTTTTAACATGCTTCTAAGTGGCAACATGAAATTAAACTTCAGGTATACTGACTTAGTTTTCTGGTTAGGTTTACCTTGGTAAGCTACTGTTATAGCTTGAATGAAAATACTATAGTGGCTGTAATTCAGCCAACTGCATTAATTATCAAGATACAACTATAATAGGATTGATGGAAGTGCCAAAGAAATTCAGATTCAGCTTCCCGAAAAAAAAGGAGAAGAAGAAGAAGAAGCTAAGGCTTTTTTTAATGAAGCAACACTACTATGAAGTATAATTAAGGGTCCACAAAGAGGTGAAATAAGATTGGGGAACAGCTGATGTACTATAAAAAGTACAAGGTGAACATAAAGTCTGAACATCATCACAACATAGTACCATATAAAATAAAATTTTACATATTAAGCCAATCCAGATATAAACATGTTTTACTGAATGACAAAGAAATATTACACTCAGTTAATGAGCTCATAATTAAAGGTTTAGAATGTTAACAATTTGTATTTTGACTAAGTAATACTTGCTATTCAAGATTGCTGGTAACTGTAAAAGGTAAACACTGTTTCATCTAATTGATGTACCTCCAACTATGGTCATTAGCAGGGAGGTAACAGTAATTATTCCAACCAAAACAAATTATAATAGACCTGGAACAGTGTTTAAATACAATGTTTTGATCACTTCTGGGAGGTACCATAATACTAGTATCTAGATTTATATTATGCTTATTTTAAGCTACTGTTCTAGAATAATCATTATTATTACTATCAGGGTTGGGAATTTGACCAATCAAAAAATTGTTCAAATATATTTTTTTTAATCTTAGCTGCATATATTGAATATTACTTAATTTAATGTAAATTACACAAAAATATTTAAGAACAAGTTTACAAATTGACATCAATCATCCAACAACAAAGCTGGTACCACCATTTTGACGTTGAGTTTCGTAACTAGGTAATATTACCAGTCATTATATTAATTAACTGTTTTTTAATAATATGACATTGTTATAAAAAATTATTGCAAGTTTAAAAAATCATTGCTGTTGGCTACATAAAATTGAAGGATATAATGCAGCATAGAATTTAGCAGTTGAAAAGCAGGGACCCATACAACTCATGCATTATACACGATATTTACAAAATTTGTAAAAAATTGATAAATATTAGGCTATAAAATGTTATTGGAAATATTTAATTATTTTTTTCTTAAGATCTTCAGAATGTGACAAGATGTTACATTTCAGTTTGTTTCAAAATTCAAATGCATTGGTTCTAAGTTTGAGGTTTTAGTGTAGACCAGATATACATGTACAAAAAAAAAGATAGAACTTCGCATCCTACTAATAATTTCCTGTGACTGTCTACTGGTGCTTTCAGGTGATTTCAACTGCCCATAAATATTACTAAGACTGATAACTAGCATACTGACATAATTTTATGCAAAATATACCAAGAAATCAGCAAAAATATGGATCATACTAATTTCAGTCTGGTATCACCTGGGGTAGGAGATATGTTTCCCATATACTGTACCATGGCTCCCAGAGCCTGTGAATCTTACCATGGTTGGGAAGGTCCATGATACCAATAACTAGTCCAATAGCTTTGAACATCCTAATAAGAAATTCAGATCTTGATAACATTCTTAATAATCTGAGCTACAGGCAGCCATAGGCAATATTTATTATGACTGACAACTTAAGCTTTCAGCTACCTCTAACTCAGGGATTCTCAACTTTTCCTCCATCATTAATCCCCTCAGCTTGATGCATTTCTCCATTTACCCCCTTACGTCCATACAAAAAATTCATAGCCATCATAAAGGGACAGATAAACAAGAAGGTCAGAAAAAAAAAAATATTATTCAGGTTTTGCACAAAAATAGCACACACACACACATTCTTAGCATTCTCTCTCTCTCTCTCTCTCACACACACACACACACACACACAC